TTTCAGAGAACAATAAGGACACAAGCGTTAAGTCGCAGATTATCTTCAAGAAGTGGCCTGGACAGTGAGGGATGAGCTAGGTAGGCGCGTCTTGACCAATGGTCAGCGCGTGTGCTTCGCATTGTCCCTAAAGGATTTTGAAGGCACGTGCCGCTCGTTCTTACTGGTCAAGCAGTCAAACAGGTTTGCCGAAAGGTGTTAAGTGGTCATTTATGGTGGTCATCCTTTGAGCGCGTGGCAGGACCCTTTGCGACAAATTGAGATGGTCAACAAGTCGGGCTAATGCCGCCATTTTGTGCGGGGTCCAGATACGAATGCTCGGCTTTAATTTATAACGGTTATTTAGATATTATCGTTTGAAGATGAAAAGAAAAAAACTTGAGAAAAGATTTCCCATCTGAGCCCTGGCATTCTGGGCAAAACACAATGAAGCGAAAGCTGCAATTTTATTCGCTTTTGCGCATCCTCATAACAAAAGGGTTGAAGGGTCGCCCAAAAGGACGACTTCCTTGCCTAAAAACCGGACCGGACTCACGGCCGCGAAGCCAAATGAAAGTAATCACACACCGAGAAACCGGTTTGGACACTGGCATTCAATGTTCGAAAAGGCCGCGAAGAAAATTTCAGCCAAAAATAAAAAAAAAGGACGAACCCCTTCGAGGAACATGGCATATGGCGGTCCATTGCGGGATCTGGTCAATATGAAAATACAAAAGCGGCAGCAGCATCGCGTCTGCGAGCGGGACTGCGAGTTGTCCTGGCAGTTGCCAGCGTGTCCTGGCTCTGGGGTGGCAGTTGGGCATGAGTTGTTGCTTTTGTTGCCTCCGCAGGACAGCAGGACAATGGCGGCTCAAAGGGTTCGCTTGCGGTCATGCATTCAAATTATCTTCCCATTTTGTCTACAATTGGGTATCCTACTTCGGATAAGTATGACAACATGTTCAACATCGTCCTGCTTGGCATTCGAGAGCTGCTCGTCCCAGAGGTCAGCCATTTTGTTGAACCTAAACTTGAACCCAAGCATGTTCTCAAATTAACGGACATTTCTCAAGAAATTCGCAGGAAAGCCTTTTGGGGCACAAGCTAGAAGCGGAGAGTGATAGATTGAATCTTTTTTGTGATAAAAAATGGCGATTCGTTATCGGATGTTGCAGCCTCCAGGATGTCGCGTGCTGCTCCTAAAGCAAAACTGACCTCGGCACTGACCATTAGCAACCCTTTCATGCTCCCGCCAACCCATCGGCCAAGAGCTGGATCATCTCGTAACTGGTTTCAATGAATTGACCGGCATTAAATTATTTAAGGACTCGCACGCGTGTCCTTTGCCGGGTTGGTCAGTCAGATGGTCAGCGTATGCCCTTAACTTCCCCTAATAAGTGCACAGGATCTTAGGACAACACTTCGCACATTTGCATTGTCATTTGCAATGACTTCATTTCCTTAAAGTGTCCCATCTTTTATCAGCGAAAGCATCCCTAAGAAGACTTCTGTGCTCACAGTTGTGTTGACAAAAGATCCCATTAGCCATCCCCGTGGTCATTGATAGCCTCAAAGATTTATGCAAAGCGGCACCCAATCTATTCGTCAAGGGTCAACGAAGTTGACCAAACAAAGTGTTCAATGAATTCCTTCGCAAAATAACTGCATAATGCATAAATGCCAAGAGTTTATTGAAATATCATCCAGACTTAAGGCTCGAACTGAGCATGCTCTTGTTCGTTTTCGGGGGTAAAAGTTGAGATTTTGTTGAGGCAATAAATCTGCGGCCAAACGCATCCCAAAACAAAGGATCACAAAAAGGAAGAAAATAGGCAAATTATCGATGCATTTAGGATATCTTATCCTTGGGCTCCTAAGGGTGTCCCGGCCCACTGAATATTCAAACGCGTTTTGTTTACGTTTTAGCATAAATTGTGAGGAAAGGACAAAAGATGCCACAGGCAATTGTCGTAATTAGGAAGATGAGTTCCAAGTGTTCCCAAGGATTTTCTCACGTTGATTGCATCGCAGATATAAACACTCTCTATACTCCTGATACACTCAACTAAGACCAACTTTACCTTCAATTAAATTCCCATAAAACCATAACTCGGTGTGGGCTTTTATATTTCTATTTGAGACATGCCCTTCACTCTCCACTCTCGCAGTTGGCTTCAGCTAATTAAAACATGTCATCCAATTTACCTGCCAAAGGATTCCCCAATGTAATGCTAATTCCTTTTATATCCCGATGGCAAGAGTTACACATTTGTAGAGCCAGAAATAATAATTGTCGCTCTATGAGCAAAGCGATTGTTATCCTGCGAAATTAAACATAACACAGCCATTGACTTTCCATAGCTCTAGGAGAGAGCAGGAACAAGGACGAGTAGCAATCAATGCTCGCATTGGCAGACAAAAGCCAAAACACAATATGAAAACATTTGTAACTGAATATGAAATTCTCATATGCAAATTTGCATTCTACTAAAATAAAATCACAGACAGAAACAGAAACAGAAATAAAACAGGGCTGGGTTGGATTCTACTCGTAGTTATAGTCGACAAAGCGACTCGGGATCGGGATTCAATTCTATGTTTGGGCTTTTGTGCGCATTTTCATGCAGATTTCCGTCAGTTGCTCAGTTGCCCAGTTGCCATTTTCCGTGGAACCTTTTTTGTAATCAATAGCTGGGTAGATGCATGCAGATCGTAGCTTTGCCCGGCCGCTTGGCCTTTCTCTTATCCATGTCACTCAATTATGGCAACAATTGGTAAATCCACTTCAATCTCAATTCGCCAACCAAGTGACAAACCAGCAGAGCAATCCCTTTCCCTGTCCCACTCCCTGTCCCACTCCCGTCCACTGCTCGGCATACGAAATCAATCGATGGCTGCAGTTCGACTTCCGCCCCTCGCCAATCGATTTGCTCGGCAAGGGATTTCCTTTTGCATTGCTTTTCCATTCATTTCCTCAGCTGATTTGCATATATTTCCATTCCACATGGCGCGCGTGCGCTGTTCGATGAGGTAAACTAGGTAACCCTCCTCCTCCTCCGTCACAGGTCGATTTGCATAACACTGGCTGGTGGCTGGTATTGATCCTGTTCCTGATGATGGTTCCTGCTGCCTGTCGCCCGCTCTCGCCTGAGGCTGGGTCGCTGCGCCTGTGCCAAAATTATGCAAATCCTTTTGCGTGCCAATATTTTACAACAATAATTTATGCAAATTACACTGGAAAGGATTTTGTGCGCCTGCGCAGCGGATGTTACATGTCGCAACCTTTGGAGGCGACCGTTTTTTTTTCTAAGGGTTTGCTCTTGTTTCGCATTTTCGCAACGTTTTTTTTATATGCAAATTTTTTTTGCCGAGGCCTATGAAAGTTTTTGGCATTTTTAATTGTGTTTTTTTGCGCGATTGTAATGCAGATTTTTTTTGTTCGTTTGTAATTTTAATTTTGTGCGCCAAAAATGGTTTTATTTTTTGCATTTGAATGAATTCCATTCGATTATTATGGGGAATCGCAGCTGTGCCAATTGCTGCGCGCCATTTTTTCGAATAGTTTCTGAAGTTTAGATCGAATTGTGCAAACAATTTGCATAAGGATTTGTTCAATAGACCAAGATGCGGGTTCTACATTTGGTGCGACTTTTATTTTGATTGTACCCATGGAAAGGTTGTCATCCGTTTAAATTAATTTTAAATGCTGTGAGAAAAAAAACGCCAATGAGAAATTTGCGATGGTTTTCTAGAAGAGTCTGTTTTGTGTATTTGCTACAATTTTTAAATATACTTAACTTTTCAATACTATACTAAATTGTAATAAGCTGTTCAGTACTGTATAATATTATAAAATATTACAATATGCAACACTATACTGTAGTATACTATTTACTATATACTATGCTATGTTATGATAACTATACTATATTATACTATATTATACTTTGCCATACTATACTATACTTTACGTTATCGTAAGAATTCAAGACCAGATATTTATTTAACTTTCTGATATATATGTCATAATTCTTTTTTGTGAAATCTTTAAACAGTATGTTGGAGTTTTTTATTTAAAAAAATAAAGTAAAGTTTTAATTAAAATCTGCATCAAGTTCTTGAAGGCATCAAATTATTCAAGTAGGAAAGATTAAGAGAAGTTTATTAATTATTTGATTAAAGCAAAGGTGAATTTAATTTATTTCTCATACCCAAATTTACAAGTATTGTTATCAAAATCTCTAGATATTTAGTATATGTGTTAGTTAACTTTGCTTTTTAAACTTATCTCTCTTTCTATTTCGTATATATTTTTATTTTTAAAATATTTCTAATTAAAAAAAGTCCCTTCACATTCCTTTACATTTCTCCAATATTTCTCTCTCTTCGCTGTCAATGCACAGGGGAAATTCCTGAGCAGCCGTTGGTGCTCGCAATGACATTTTTACCTAAAAAACTCGCTTTTCTGCAGAAATTTACATGAACGCTGGCATTTTATTGGTCGGCAGCAAAAAACTAGCAAAAAACGGCGACAAACTCAGAACATGTTATGCAAGGGAAACGCTTCGTTTTCCTCACAATTTCCACAATCGGGGCGCTAAATAAACTATAAGGGTTGTGCGTCTTCAGCCACCACCACGAAGCGGGCAACGCTTTAAGGTTTTCCATTTTTTAAGAGAGTCGAGAGTGCGGGACTGCGAGAGCGAGTGGCAGATCAGTTTTTTAAGAGCACATCTCGTATATTATTTTTTAGAGAGAGGGTTGCTGCGGGGACTTTTGCGCAATTTTTGCTATATTAGCTGGCTGTGGCGGAAGAGTTGAAACAGTTTGAGCTGCGCAGCCGAACTTCGAGGATCGCCAGAGACGTGCCATTAGTATCTGAAGATCGTGATCAGAGTCGAGCGTGTGCTGTGAAATCTGTGAAAATCTTGTGAACCAAGAATTTTGTATCAAAGAAAAATCAATTGATTTTCCGTGCTGTGTTATCCATATAATAAAAAAAAATATAACGTGATCACAAAATGTCCAATCAAATGGAATTTATGATGCAGCTTTATATGATGAACCTGCTGCAGCAACAACAACAACTGCAGCAGCAGCAACAGCAACCGCAACAACAACAACAGCTGTCGAGCTTTGCCTACACACAGAAAGAGGATATCAGCAGCAGCACATGCCTGCAACAACAGCAACAGCAGCAGCAGCAGCAACAACTGCAGCAGCAGCAACAGCAACACAAGACAAGAACGCACAAACGAACAAATTCGCAAAACACGAACTGTAGTAGTAGCCGTAGTTGTAGTCCCAATAGTAATTTGAATGCTTTATCACAACAACAATATGAGCAAAATGCTACAACACTAACAACACAGACAACACCAACAACACCTAACAACAACACAAACACAAACACAAACTTTGCCTATCAGTTGCCGCAAATGTTGTTGAGCACTTTGTCACCACTGACACAGTACATGTTGCAACAACAACAGCAACAACTGCTGCAGCAGCAGCAACAACAACAGCCGCCGCAGCAGCAGCAACAGCAGCAACATTTGCTGACAACATCAACAACAAACCTGTTACTAACCCCCAACACGCCCAGCTCCACGCAGCAAATGCTGTTAGAGCATTTCCCCAACTCCCTGAAAAGCGAGCAATTTCCCATAAATAACTTTTTGCAATCCTCCACAGTGACATCAACGCCAAACGAGCAAGCAGCAGCAGTAGCAGCAGCAGCAGCAACATGTGCAGCAGCAGCAACAGCAGCAACATCTGCAGCTGGCAACCTTTCGGCAGTCACAGTCAAATATGAGCAGGATTTCGATGATGAGGACGACAAGCCGCTGTCGAGCTTGAACAGCTGCAGCTCCTCGGGCCTGGCCAGCACCAATGATGCTAGCACCAGCGCCAGCACCGAGAAGCTGCTCCTGTTGTCCGGCATACAGCCGCTGGAGAGTACGAGCACCACCGACAGCAACGACTCGCCCAGCATGGTAAGTTCTCTAATTAAGAATTATTCCATCAAAAATATTATATTCCTTTTCGGGCATTTTCCATTTAAATTCAAATTACAAGATACTTTATCCAAAAGATTTTTAATTTTCTTTTGACTAATACGTTTCTGTATAACTAATTAACAAATATGATTGAATGCGGCATGAAGAAACAGATGAGAGCATAATGAACATAAATTAAAGACCCATAATTTCAATTAAGAATTTTAATAAATATGAAGACTAAGTTAATTCTTCGAACTTCTATTCTTCATAATTATTATTATTAATTTTTATTTTTTATATATATTTAAATATCTTCATATTTAATAGATTTCAATCGAGTCTAATACAGCTTTCCATTTCCCTTATTTACATTTGAAAAAGCAAACTATTAAAGGAAAGCTACGTATATTATACAAGATTTTTCAAATTTATTTATCAATTTCATTTGAGGATATTTTATAAAAAATATTAAATTTTTCATCTGTTTCATCTGTTAAATTTCCACTTCTACTTTACTTATTTTACCTTTATTATAATGCACATATATTGCTATTAATATATCTACTGCAACGACTGCAACTAATGTACCATATATTCTACTACTAAAACTAATATGACTTCTTTATTCGCTACTACATAAATATTACATCAATTAGTATTACTAATGTAACTACTGCATATAAATACTACTACTGCTATTTGGTTATACTATTGCTACTATAACTTTTACTCCTGCTACTCCTGCTACTACAACCTCTACTACCATTACTACATATACAACAGCTACTTAAGCATCTACTGCTATTACTACGACTACAACTTCTAATACGTTTCCTCTTGTTCTACTACTACTACTACTACAACTTATACTACTCTTACTTCTTATTCTATTAATAATTCTCCTACTAATTGTACTAGATCTATTGCTAAGTACCACTAATGTTACAACTTCTTGTACTTTCAATTCTACTACTATTGTTACAATTTGCATTTACTACAGCTACTACAACTACTACTACTACTACTACTGCTACTACATCTACTATAACTTTTATTACTTTTTCTACTACTACTACTACAACCTTTACTACGGATAATAGGACTCCTACTACTACTCCTACTACTGCTTCTACTACTATTACATAATACTACTGCTTATACTTCTGTTATTACTACTACTAATACATCAATTACTCCGAAAGTAATTACAATATGCTTAAAAACAACTCAACATATTTTCGAGTATTGCTTATTTTGTTAAAATCAATTAATATGATTCCTAATAAATTTCTTGCTACTAAACTCAATAAATCAAATCTGCTAAAAAGAATATTCTTCAAAAATCTTCGCATTGCCATTATATATTTCGTTCAAATACACCCGATTCCTGCTGGAAAACTTTGATTTTAACAGCAAGCCAAGTTTTTCTGCCATGCCTTTTGGGTTCTTCAAGCCTTTAAATGTGTTTTTTTATGTTTATCATAAACTCCCACGCTGCCTGTAATTCGAGAGTGGCTCGACACAAATGTGGGGAAGCTGAACATTCGTGCGCTTTGCGCGAAAAAATAACCGAAGCAAAACTTTGTCGTAATTTGCTTGCTCAATGTAAACATCAACTCGATTCCAAGGAAAACAAACAGCTGCTGTGTTGACAACGCGTGGGTTCCTCAACCCTGCAGCTGGCTACTGGCCACTGGCACCAAGCAGTCTGATTTTGTAGGAATATTATTATTATTTAATTTAACAAACCGTTCGTTCTGTGCTCTATGCATTGCAGTACACGCCCGTCAAGCAGCCAGCGGACTCCTCATACAATGTCGTCACCAGCATCGATAATGAGGCCACATTGAGCACGCCCCTGGCACAGAGCAACTCGCTGCTGACGCCGCCGCCCTCCAGTGATCAGGGCAAGGGCATTGTTAGTCTGAGCACGGCCAGCAGCTTGGACGCCTTTCTGCAGAACGAGGAGAATCTGAAGAATCTGCGCAAGGTGTCCTCGTATCTGGAGTGCGAGAATACGCTCTGTCGCCAGGAGACGCTGCGCGAGCATTTTCACTGCTACGATGAGCCCTGCCAGGGCAAGATATTGAGCAAAAAAGATGACATCATACGCCATCTAAAGTGGCACAAGAAGCGCAAGGAGAGCCTCAAACTGGGCTTCGCACGGTTCTCCTCCGCGGATGACTGTGCGCCCGCCTATGGCGATGGCTGTGCCTACAATTGGAAGCAGACCCACTATCACTGCGTCTACGAGCACTGTCCCAAGGTCTATGTGAGCACCAGCGATGTGCAGATGCACGCCAACTTCCATCGCAAGGACTCGGAGATTGTGAACGAGGGTTTCCGGCGTTTTCGCGCCCACGAGAATTGTCGCATTGAGGATTGCCCCTTCTACGGCAAGAAGATATCGCACTATCATTGTTGTCGCGAGGGCTGCAATCACACCTTCAAGAACAAGGCCGACATGGGTGAGTGATCCTGCAGATCGTATATTCCATTTTAAGTCTACAGCATCTGCTTGCCCCACTCTGCAGACAAGCATAAGACGTACCATTTGAAGGACTATCAGCTGACACAGGATGGCTTCAAGAAGATACTCAAAACGGAACAGTGTCCTTTCGAGTCCTGCAAGTTTTCCACGGTGTGCAATCACATACACTGCGTGCGCGAGAACTGCAACTACATCCTGCACTCGAGCAGCCAAATGATTAGTCACAAGCGCAAGCACGATCGCCAGGATGGCGAACAGGCCTATCAGCAGTTCAAGAGCAAACAGGAGGATACGGACGACACCATCTCACTGGATGCCACACCGCTGCCGACCAGTGCCGCCAACAGCAACAGCTCCAACTCCACCACACCGCTCTCCTCGCTCTCCGCGGAACACTTTCTGGCACGCAAACGTGGTCGGCCGCCCAAGAAGATTGTAAGTGCCTGCCGTTTGAAAATTCGCACCAGCTACTTTATCTATGATTTGTTTCCGCACAGCAACTGCCCGCCGATGCACAGCAATCGGAAGCGAAGCGTCTGAAACTGGAGGACACCGACAGCAATCCGGCGCCAACAGCACCGGCGCAGTTCCAGCCCCCGCCCAACAGCAATTCACTGAGCAGCGCTCTGTTCCCCAATCTGATGCCCAACTTTACGGCCGCTGCCGCCGCCGCAGCTGCCGCGGACGCTGCAACGGCGCCGAATTTCCAGCTGACGCATCTGATGGCGCTCTTCCAGCTGCAGAATCCGCTCTTCTATCAGAATCTGTATCCGGGCGCCGCGGCTGCCAATATGCTGGCCGTGCCACAGAATGCGTCCATGTTTGGCAATTTGGCCGCCTTCAGCGCAGCGGCCGCTGCGGCAGCGGCGGGCGTCCAGCAGCAGCCGAAGAGCGAGTTTAGCATTAAGCCCGAGTTCAAGGAGTAGATGGGAACGTCCTAGCGCTCAACAGATGCCAATAGGTGTATACATGTATATGTGTGTATAGAAGTAGTCGTAGTTATGTAGAAGACTGACTGATTCGGACGTTTTGTTAGACAGCGGCCAGGCATCAGGCTCTAAGCAGGTTTTCTTCTAAGGGGTTCCAGTGAAATGTTGATGCAATGGCCAGGACGTTCCTTTGCCTTTTTTTAGCCCATTCCTTCTGCAAAAGCCAACTCAGCCACATTTTGTTGGTTCGAAAACCGTGGCAAAATGTTGCTGAATTCGCTTTTGTCAATATTTGTTTCTTTTTTTATTAAAGCCTTTTCTTATCCAAAAATTTCAGCATTTCGAAGAAAAAAACAAAAAATAAAACTTGAATTTAGTTTAACTAAAACTGTGATGTTTTCCTTAGCTTAATAATAGCTAATTTGCTTGTCCTTAAAATGAATGTACAAAAAATATTTTTAATTTTAGTTTATGCGGGACTTAGGAGCTTTTCTTTAAATGGGGTTAAATCAATAGAAAATAAAAATTCCTTTGTGATATGTTAATGAAAATTCTTGTTTTAATGTCGGATTATTCTATGAATTATGTTTTAAGAAATATATGTTTAATATTTAAAAATCGAAAAGTTCATAATTTCTTTTAAAATTATTTATTATGTATTTAGCTGAGCCAAGTTTCCCTTACGAGAGAAATAAAATTTTCCAGTACTACCTTGAACCTCTATTTCCACCCAGCTGAGTGGATTTTCCGGAATTGGTGAAACACATTTAAACTGTCATTGTACATAGTTGTTTAAAAGCCGACCGGATGACAAAAGAAAGGTATATCTTTGCAAGATCAGACTTCATTAAACCCAGTCAATTAAATTAGTTTTGAAAAATATAATTGTAATATCATGGGTATATTAAGGTCATTTTAAGGACTATCAATAGACATTGGCAATAAAATAAGGTACCAGGCGAACGGGGCGTTGATTCAGTTGTCGAAAAACCCTGCTGCATACTTGTATGGGCATCAATTTTGGTCCACTGATTATCTAAATTTAAATGAAAGTCCCAGTTGATTAACCATGAATTTCATGTTCCCTCACCAAAATCCCAAGCAGATGACCACATCAGCAACACTGAATGCCATATTCTGTGCAGCAGCAGCTGCAGCTTGTGAAGGCAGGGGCTACTTGAGGGGGAAGCTGATCTTGTAAAGAGGTGACAGAAGAATACCAATGTATATCATATCTTTGTGACCAGGCCTATTGTTTGCTCAAAAAATATATATGTTTTTGGAACAGCTTGGACCAGGAGCAAAGATTGGCATTGAAAAATAAAACTTCTAAAAAGGGACCAAGGTTGACCTAAATGATTAAGGGTAATGTCATCACAATTTTTGTATATTTAAAAGCTTTGGTTGCCAATGGATTATAGAATCGTTCATGCATAATTTTAATAAGCTTAGTTCTTAACAAATGTAATAAAACAATATTATTTAAAATTATATGTTTTGATCTTGCCACAAACTTCTGTTTATCCCATATACAACTCATACCATAGAAGAAAACAATATTTTGAATGCCGATTAAATAATTGTTATTGAATTTATTACTGTATTTTATATGATTTCTTTTACTCATTGACTAAACACAAATCAGCTACACAAGAACTCTGGACGCTCTATGAAAAAGAGTCCAGCTAAGCAATTTACTTAACAATGAAGCACTTTATCAATTTCGTATATACTTATTTAATTTTTCTTATATTCGCATATAAGTACGTATATTTAAACAATCAATATAGTTAATCCAAGTCCAAGAAGAGATTTCGAAATTTATATAGCTACTATAATGTACACATACATGCAAATGTTATCGGAATTTGTTTAATATGCTGCTGGATTTTAGATTTTTGTTTTTGTCTTTTACAATAAGAACCAATAGAAATAATGTACAAATGATTATTTGATAAAAAATTAGGCGAAACTGTTTAAACTAATTAACTAAAACTAAAGAAACATTAAATTCAACAAGTAAAACTAATTAAATTCGTTACAAATTAAGTATGTTGAACAATAGATAAACTTAAACAAAACTAGAGACTGCGAGACTCTGCTAAGCAAATTCCTTATATCAGGCCATATATATGGGATTTATATATAGTCTAAGCGTCGATTTGATTAAGGTGGTTTACGAACAATTTATGTTAGCCAAAATTTATAAAATTCTTGTTGCAAAAGCATTTATCCAATTCCATGTATAAGTACTAGTATATATATATATATGTAGGTATGTATATATAGGGTCTGTATATATATATATATATATATATATATGTATATAACGTTTAGGTTTCGAGGGCGATTTCCATTACATGTTTATGTATGGCAACAATTTGTGCGCAACATGCAACATAATGAAATTTGTAGCTTTTGTATTTTGTTGTTTTTTTTCTATTTTTTTTTTTTTTTGCATCTAAGCCGCAACTGAGGTGTACTGGTAAGCGTTTGGGCGTCTAGGGCTGCTCAGGAATCGTCTCCCGGTAGAGGCTACGCAGCAGCTTGCTGATGAATCAGAACCGTTAGCTGCGACCGTTGGGCGCCGCCGGTGGCGCCAGTTCCATCGTTGGGACCGCACTGCTTGGTGGCGGCAGTTCCACCGTTGGATCCGCGCTGCTCGGCGGCACGCCGGACAAGGTGATGGCACGCATATGATGAACGGGCCGAATGGACTTGAGCTGTGTGGTGCCCTTGAAGCGGACATTAACATCGCCGCCCACCATGCTGAGTGGATGCATGCCCGGCTCTGGCTCCGTTACTTGTTCGTGTTCGTGTGGTGCTGTGGTTATGGCAATATCTCCACTATAATACGGACGCATGGTCATCGGCGAGAGTGCTGTGGGCGTGCTTTTATAGCCAATGCGACTGAACAGGCTGCCGGTGTTGGTGCTGTTGTTGCTGTTGCTGCCAGTGCTGCTGCTGCCGGTGCTGTTGCTGCTAGCATTGCTTGCAGTACTGGGCGGGCTGAGGGGCGTGCCAACGCCAGAGTCGACCTCCAATGGGCTCTTGATGTTGGCCACAAACTTATCGACATGATCCGGCAGCTTTAGTTCGTCCAGCTTAGTTTGCATGACGCTGCGTGCGCTAGCATTGTCCAGCAGACGATTGGGACGCGTTGGTGGCGCAGGTGGGACAACAGTCAGCTCCGGATGGCCATTTGTGTGGTTGCGCTGCTGCTGTAGTTGCTGTTGCTGCTGGCGCAGTTGCTCAAAAAAAGGTGTCTTCTCCTTCTTCTGCTTTTGTGGCGAACCAGGTTCGTCTCTTTCGCTCAGCTCTTCGAGCACCTTGAGTGGAAACCCCAAGTGACTGTTGACCGAAATGGATTTGCCAATTTTGCGCTCAGCAAAGATTGGCTTGCGTCGCTGCCGCTCCAGATCATCCAGCTGCTGCAGCATGCGTCGCACTTCGCTGGGCAGCTCCAAATCCGGATTGTGCTCCACCAGTTGGCCAATGTAACGGCCCAACGTTTGTATTGTCAGCTCCAGGGACTGCACCTGCGACTGCAGCGTTGAGATTTGCGTTTGCTGCGAGGAGCGTGTAGTCTCCAGCTGTGCAATTGACGATTGAGCGAACTGGCAGAATAATGGTCGGTAATTAAAAAGCCCTAAGGAAAATAAACTTGTAGCTACTCACCTGCAGCTGTTGCTCCAGATGCTGATTCGTTGCCTTTTCTCGATTCAGCATTTCCAGATGATGATTTGTCGTGGTTATTTCCTCCTGCAGCACATTGTATTCCACATTGTACTCGGCCAGCTGCTTGCTAATTTCCAGCCCAAATACCAACTTCATGGTTTGCTCCATGCAGTGCAAATCCATTTTGGGCACCACCGACTTCAGATAGTCCATGATCTCCTCGAAGTTATCGCGCGCGAGGAGCTGCTGCTTGTGCACCGAGAGCAGGGCAATGGCAAACTTAAAGATAACATCGGAGGACTCCAGGAAAACCAGATCGAAAACACGCGCCACAAAGCCCAACGGAAACTGTGAACTGAATACGGTAAGGATCCAGGGCGCAGCGTATAAAGTGGGCGAGACATCGTTTTGATCCAGCCACATGTACAAATCGGGCAAATGATCCTTGACCAGACGCGACAGCTGATACAGCTGCAGCTGGAACTTCTTCATGTCCGGCAGGTATTTAGTGCGCATGTTGCGGCAGAACATCAGATGCTTCAGCAGCTGAAAGGCGCTGGCCTCGTCGCACTGCAAGGAAGAGGCATTAATACAAAGTAGAAGACTCTAACAAGGATCAACCTACATGCAACAGCAGCACGCCGCAAATGAAGCCCAGGCCCTGGCAGTAGCCAAGCTCTGGATCGAGTATGGAGTAGGCCTTCAGCAGATTAAAAAGAGACAGCTGACCCAGCCCCAGAGGATCCTTGTAAAACTGGTGGTTGGGAAAGGTGCGTCCCAGATCAATGAATATCGCATGTTGATGCTCGGTCAGATGCTTGAGCAGCGTTTGATACGGCGTATTGTAGTTGGGAAAACGTTTCGTGTCTACCGGCGCCATGTTCATCGAGTGCTGCTCGGCCAGAAAAGTCCAGACATCGCCGCGCTTGGACCGGGGCACTCCGGTGCGTATGGCATGGCGCAACACCTTGGGATCCTTTTTGTTGCCTATCTGCATGGAGTTGCGCTCAATGATTTGCTCCCAGCGCTCGATCAGCTGCTTGTCGCATGGCACAATCTCCTCGTAGTCCAGCTTGATGCGCTTCAGCTCGTTCTCGTTCTGACGCGCCTGCAGCATGGCATTCTCCGTTTCCATGCGGTTCAGCATAATGGTCTGTCGTATGGCCGTGCGCCACAGTTCGCGCAGCTCGGCTGCATCCCTCTTGCCGCGTTTGACAGCTGTAAGAGATTGATTCGATTGGATCATAAGAGGAGATCAGAGCAAGATGACTTACGTTTGCGCATAGGCGACAGATACTCGGTGGGCGCCTCGCTGTCTA